TTCCAACTTTGTTAATGTACATTTATGACGTAAAGTCAATAACAAACCAGATAATTCAATAATTATACTTTGTCACTATTTCCCCCCGTAACTTGAAAAATATCGATCGCACGATAAAATTTGTAAATAAAGAAGTTGTAGGAAATCGCATTTGCAACAACTTAAGTCCTTACCATTTTTGTTGTAAAGTTGAAAATGGCCGAGATATTGAGCAAAAACGATTTTTCCTTAAATTCAAGATGGCGGCTGATGCAGGGGTGGAATTCAGTCACGATTCTGAATTTACACTACTATTGATCCCCCCTAAAGGTTAGAGCAATAAAATTGTGGTCCCTAATTTTTTCCCGGTTAAATGACAACCCGACTGGGCTCATCATCAGGAAACAGTCAGAAAACAGAGATTCAAAGAATTTTGTTCAACAAAATCTATCCATTCAAACCATTGTTTAATCATAAATTGCTTGATTGAAACAGATTCTGAATAATTCGGACAATTTTGTCGACTCCTTGTACTAGTTCGGACTATGATGAATGAATTTTCTACATTTAGGGGTTAAACGTCTTAATCAGTTCGAATTTCACCGCGCCACTGACATTTTATCCGGCTGCCACGTCTGACGGTCCAAAATTAAGAGTACTTAATGAATTCCGCAGCGCCTAGTCACCACCACCACCACCACCACCTCTTCCAATCGCGTCAACGTGGCAGTGCAGTAATACTACATCTTTCATAATCGCCCGCTCGGACCGCGGCGGGGTGCAGCTAGTACGTTGCACTTACTGCACTCGGACGCCGAGTGCATAATAGCGTGCGTGCGCGCGCGCATTGGCGCGACTGCAACTTATCTTCGGCGGCGCCTATTCATAACCATTCACACAAAATGTTTTTACGTTCAGCGTTCAGTTCAGTACGGGCACCGTTTCCCGGAACGGTGGATGTGTCATACGAGCGTATCGCTTCGAGTTCCCGCTAAAATATCCGCTGGAATGTTGATCACGAAGGCGGACGCTGATACAAAAATGCACGCCGCTCTCTCATTTATTATGCATAAGTTTTCGCAAAATATAACGTCAGGACGGGGAAAACCGATTAAGCCCATTAAGGCCATCGTGATATTTCCAGAGAAACGGAATGGTGCCGCCGCTCGAGGCATTTTGCAAATAACGAAGGCATACTTTTTAATGCCAAAAAAAATAAAAAATAAATTTATTTAGGTGTCTTTCGGCCGGCAATACGGGTTATGACTGAAAAAAATTGTGCCGATCTGTAGGCCAGGAAATATAGAGTTGGACGCGACTTTTTGTTTCGGCAAGCTGAATTTATCACTATAGATGCTAAATATTATGTACAATAATAACATATTAGTTTCTACAGTCATAAAAATGGGGGGCAGATTCTTTACATGCTGGTTAATTGTATAATTTTTACGTAAATTCACGTTTTTCGCTTATAATTTTTTTCCGTTCATTTCCACGAGAAAACAGTAATGTACTTTTTTTTCGTCTTCAAAAGACCCACAAAACTAGCCCTCGAGCGTCAAAAAATATTGATTAGATCAAAAGTTATAAACAGAAGCAGTTTATAAGTTGAATAGTTACAAGTTATGGCTCGTGCGTCTTATATTTCATTTTGCAACTAAGGCTAAGAAATAAAAAAAATTGCCAAGTTGCAAATTTGAAATTGAAAAAAAAATGGTAGATTTCAATGTATTATTATGAAATCTAACATGAAAAAAATCAGTGCGACTGTGGGAGATGCTGGGGATTGTCCAGACTAATAATTAGTTAATTTGTGTACAAACCCATAACTTGTAAACTATTCAACTTACCGATTCCAGTTTTCGGAATGAAAGGATGCGATGCCAAAACGTTCTGGTAATAAATTAATTATAAATGTTTAATTCAAAAGTCATAAATAAACTTCTGTTTATAACTTTTGATCTATTCGATATTTTTTGACGCTCGAATGCTTGTTTTGTAGGTCTTTTGAAGACTAAAAAAAAGGACTTTAAAGTTTTCTCGTGGAAATGAAGGAAATGAACGGAAAAAAGTTATAAGTGAAAAACGTGAATTTACGTAAAAATTATACAATTAACCACCCATTTTTATGAATGTGAAAACTAATGTTATTGTACATAATATTTAGCATCTATAGTGATAAACTCAGCTTGCCGAAACAAGCACTTTTTCCTGGCCTACTAATAAAATATTCTATTTCAAATGTATAGACTTCGAACTAATCAAATACGATCATTAAAGCCAAGTCCAAAATTTTGACATACATACATATTTATAGACCTACAGGGTGATTCAGTCATAATGTCATTAATTTTAAGGGAAGATAAGGAAAAAGCCCTGAAAAAAATATCTTCAAATTATTGCTTAAACCCTTTTTCCGGGCCGCTTCTAATCTACCGTATTTGGTCACTAACCTAGCTTTTATTATGTTTTTAATAATTTACGACAAAAGTAGACCTTTTTACCTAGACGCATAAATGAATAAGATATTTTTTACATTTTAAATATTAACAAGTAGGTATTATTTATGTTAGTAGGGCTCCGAATTAACGGGAGTTAAGACGGTAATTTGCTTATTTTTCAAAGGTCGAGTAACTTTTTTTTTTCGATTTTCTGCTTTTCTTAGGCCTTCCAAATACATGGTAAAAGTTAATGACATTATGACTAAATCACTCTGTATATTTTCTTATTAAACGGACCTTAAAAACGGGCAATCATGTTTGGAAATTATAACTTGGACAAAATTGAAAATCCTAAGTCTACGAGATTTTCACCTACCGACATACACCTTTTTATTATGTAATATATTTTTATTTGAATTCAAACAATAAGACGTTATTCAGCGCCCTTCGGCTTCATCTACTGCTATTTTTCTCAATCATTAAATACTTATTAATTTTGGGGGAAAATTTTAAATGAATTGTTCGTGCAAAGTGCAAATTTCCCTTTATTATCTATATCAATCCAGAAAAAAATAAATTAATGAAAAATCTGTAATAAAATAACTAAAATAAATGTATTCAACTGGAACATGACTGTGAATTTGTGTTCATGTTTGTTTGTGTGGTCACACGTTGGGCGCCAAAATGTTTAGGAATTGGATATACGATTGTTGTAACGACTTGAATGTTTCTTTTTATATTTTGGTGTTTTATTTTTCACTGACTGACCTCGCAGTGCCAAAATATATATTGTCAGAAGCGAACTCTCCCACAGACAAACTATTGGTATTGTTGAATTCATTTTTATTTATTTGTTTTCATTCAATATATTTTTTATTTCACTGTGCTTCCACTTTCAGAAATTATTAGTTATTTTTTGTTAATCTGAATTTTTACTGTGCAAAGTTAACACAATTTTTACAAATTTAAAAAAATAATAATAGAAATGGTACAAAAACTTTCGTTTACAAAAAAAACTAGTTACTCTGACCTCCAAAACTAAAACTAAATTTACAAATATTATTTCTTAACTCACTTTGATTACCTTTAGTCCTTATTTTTGTGTTTTCCTGCTTTCTTTGCGCCACCCGGTTTCTGGATTCTCCTTTTACTTGTTTGCGCCACTCTGTAGATTATATTTTTCCCAGAATCGGCTGTCAACCACTTTCTGGTGTTTTTGCTGTTGCCTATTTCATTTTAACTTTGCTATTGCCGCTTAACCTTTTGGATTATAGCAGTAGATCTCTGAACTTGTTTTTTCCCTTAATAATTGATTTTTTAAAATTCTAATAACGAATTCCTCATACAATTTTTGCCCAAAAAGCATTGTTAAAATCAAAGCCAACCTTGTGCAAGCTTTCTAGAATACTGATTGTGTACTGTTATTCGCTTCTTAATGGGCATCGCAAATCAATATCCTCTTTTATGCAAAGTAACATAAACATTTTATGCATCTTTTTGTGTTTTTAAAGAACTGCCAAATGTTTTATTTGAATTTCTATATGAAATAAACCTATCTCTCTATTTATTTTCCGTTTGCATTGTATAATTTTAATTTATTAAATTACAATTTTATTAATTTAGACTTTCAGTGTTTTAATTGTATAACTCTGGTTTCTGGCTTGTCGGTAGTATTTTGAAAGGTGAAGAATAACGTCAGGTTATTAGATTTCGGTTAAAAAACCTGCTAAAACCATTTGTTCATATACTATTTACATATAGACAAAGCTTAATGGGCGTACGGGTCCTTCATTTATGTTACAAAGGGTTTTTTACGGGTTTATGAAAATTAACTCGTGGCTATCTAAACATCATTTTCTCTATAAAATATAATTATATAATTGTCAAAATTGTAGAAGTATTTGTAGTTTATTAATGGAGTTACAACTTTCTTAATAGTTGTCATTGGCTGTCAGAGAGAGCCGCAATTCAATGGCGTGCCAAGCGGGTCAACCGAGACATAGTATACTGTTTTCTTTGTTATCGTGCGGATATTGCGTAACTACTTCCTATACGTTGGTGTTTTATGGTGGTGTATTGTAGACAATTGAATTTGTTGCTTTTTAATAAATAATGCGTACGCCTATGTCCCGCGGCTCAGTTCTGACAGCCCTAGTTATCATATACACAATCAGAACTATTTTGTGAGTTTACAAGGTCAAACCAGAGAGAATGCGAAAGAATCACAGCAGACTTAGGATATCCAGTTTTCCAAGTTAAAGTTATGTGTACACATCCTTAAAATTCACCTAAACCAATTATATTATTGGTTATAAAGTAATTAAATAAAATTAATAAAACAACTTTAATTCACGAAGTGTGCTTATCGTTAAAATTTAATTTTTTTTTGGCAACCACTCGTAAAAGATCAGATAATTAAATGAAACAATTTAAATAAAAAGTGTTCCACCAGGTCAAGGTCGAATAAAAAAAAACCGAGATTATTTGATAAGACGAGAACTCATCTGTACAAATTTAGATAACGTATCGGCAGCCACACATGCGGTACAAAAAAAAACGGGTAACTGAAAATGGACTCACCGGAATCTGAGGGGGTGTCTATTCCGAGATTGGGCATGTGCATCGAGGCATTCTTGTCTTTATGGTAGCTGTGGTCGCTCTCGGCGGCAAACTGGCACGACCGGATATTGGATTTCGCAGTTTCTTTGACTGCAGGGCTGGGATCCGTCACGTTCACCTCTATGTCTTCGTCGTCGTCGAAGTAGTCGCCGCCCCTGTAGTCGCAAAGGTCACTGTCGTCGTCCAGATCGCACTCGGCTATGGTCTGGTTCAGGATCTGCAGGACCTGGGTGGGCTTGCATTTGGTCTCCTCGTCGTCGGACATCGGGGGTGTCTGCGGCGTGTGCATGGTGGACATCACCGGGACGACGCAAGCCGCTGCCCTAACCGCCGGTTTCAGAAGGCTTTGCTGACACGGCACTGGCGGCTTGCTTTCTCGTTTTATCGTCACAATGGGAGCCCTCGTATAGCCAGGTGCGGAGCTGTTGATGGCACAATACATGTGGAAGCGCGGCTCGTCTGTAGGATGTTCTTTGCTGGCGCAATGGCCTGCCCACATGCAGTCGTGGTTGCGGATCTGACAGATGCCGTTCAGAAAGGGCAAAAGGGAGTCATCGTTGGTGTCGATCTCGTCGAAGATGTCGTCGATCCCCGAGAGCTCCGGGAAGTCGAGCTCGAACTTGTTCCATATGTCGTCTGACAAAACGGGTTCTGTATTCGGTCGGGCCGATATAACGTCTACTACCGGAGACGGGAGCATGTCGCTGCTCAAATCGTCCAATAAACCCATAGGATTTATCAAATCCGTCGATCTGACAGGCATTTTACCAGAAATCCTTAAGTCTACAATCACTATCACTAATATCACAAATTGCCCTGGTTTCAAGTCTCCCGCTGTGGCAGCAGCTGCTGTAAAAGAAAACGACCAACATTAAGAACCTGGCATGAGCAGCTGCTTCTTTCAATTATTGCCTATCCTATCTCGAAATTACATATAAATACCCAAACCTCCATGCCCGAACATATCCGACATACGGGCGCAACTGTTGTATGATTCATTAGACAAGTACACCATTTGAAAAGATTAGTCGAAATAGGGAAATCAGAACAGTACTATTTTACTCTTATCGGCGCATTTTTCTACCTATTTAACTTCCAAAACATTTATCCATTCCAATGTACCACGGTACGAAAAAAAAAAATAATAATGCAGGAGTCATTTTCCGTAAGTTTCAAATACAATTGCTCAATAAACCAAGTTTAAATAGAGCATTACGTATTTGGAACAAGACTAGGCGTTATTTATATCCAAAGTTTTTTCCGAACATTTTTAAATATAGAAGAGCCATTACACTCGCAAGATTATACATATTGCATGCAATTATTTCATGATAACTTTAATAACCGAATAAAACTAATCAATTTAATTGTTGAACTCTTGTTAGTATTAGGCGTTATCGGTAAATATCCACTCTATTAACTGACAATGAACAAATTTTTATATTTTTGAAAAAAAAAATCAACTGCAAAACAACCAACCGTGGCACAAACCTTGTTGCGGTGAAACTCAACAACCCTGTGCAATTATTTCCTGTAAAGCGTAACTGACCTCCTCGCTATAACATGAACGCGCCTTAATTATTTCCAATTTTTCTATCCAGACCTATTAATTTTCACGCTCGGTGCTCGCATTAAAAAGGAAGCAGACGTAGGTATGGCGCCAAGGTGAAAAAAATTTAAGATTACAAGTTTAAAAAGGAACGGTAAATAAACCACTTGTTTAAACTAAAACGCCGATTTAAAGCTTTTTGTTTAATGAGTCCTAATCGAATCTTTAAGTACACCTTATTTGTTTCCTATATCGGAAGGGGGCGAAACATAATAATTCTAATTAGGTAAGTCCATATTCCTTCATTATCCTTGAATTCAAGCTACAATCTACATATAGGTATACATTTCAAGATGAAACAAAATGTTGGTACCTACCAACGTAAAATACCTGTGAGTTATTAATAACAAGTTTCAAATAATCAATAAGTATTACAAATACAGTACAAAAGATCTCTTTAAATTGTTGATCAAATCAAATATTTTCTAAATTTTTTTTTTGCAATATTTCCAAGCTTCTTAAAGCCCTACATTGACATCTTACTGTATATTAGAAATAACAATTGTGGCGGGAAAATTAAGGCAATGAGGGTTCGACCCTATAAATCATTACAATCGCACTGATAAAATAAGATCTCCCCATCCACCATAAAAAATTACTTCGATAAATCAGTTTTCATAATTAACTCAAAAAACAAGACTTAACAGAATTCTGAGAACATTTCAATAAAATAATTAAAATATTCAAAGTATAGTATCTAGATAGTTAACGTGTTTTCCATTCAATATAACGCTTTTTTTAAACAGCAATAACATGTAGCAAATATCAACGATTCTCAGTAACATTAAATAAATATTTATAATGTACGGAGACAGGGAAATACCTTATTCCTCTATCAATATTTATTATATAATTAGCTATCTGTTAGAAATACAGGTATTGATTTCAAGACCAAAATTTGATAGGTACATTTATTAATAAATGTAGTGTTCGGAAAAAATAACGTACTTATACCTATATGTAGTTACTTTACTATAGATAGCAAAACAGGCAATTAAATTTAATGTGAATCATCTAAACCAAACATGCAGAATTTTTTTAAATGTAGCTACGTTGTGCAATATTCAGTAATATTTAATTTATAATTAATTATAATATGGATATGGAAGCTTAAAACGTGTCAAATAATCACAATAGATAGAAATATTTCAATAATTCTTAAAAAATAGGTAGGTAACTACTTAGTTAATTATTAATAAAGATATGTTACTAAATTATTCACTGAAGTTTAACCCGAGATGTGCTTTAGGAATTAAGCGAATTCATTAAATGCATTCCTGGGAAGTGCAACAATATGTGTAATAATAGCCACGTAGCCGGCAATCTTATCCGGCAGCATGAGTTTCACGCCTCCCAACATATGTGATCAAATTTAGAAAGTAAGCGGCAATTTTTCTGCGGTTACAGAAATAAAATGTCATTCAATCCAATTGTAATTCAAACTTACCTTAAAATATATGAGGTATATCAAGTATAAAGCACTTAAATGTTAAGTAACAACTTTAAACTGAAAGTTTTTTTCTAACACACGGAGTACGCAGCACAAAAAGAATATCTAAAGATATGGAAACCACGTTTTTTACAAAACCACTCTCCTTAAATTTTACTATCAGCTTTGTATACATGCTTAATATTATTAAGGGTTGTCAGTGACAGACGTCAACGTCTAAGAGCTCAAACGGCCCAGCAATGACTGAACAGTGAACAGCAAAAGTCTACCAAACAGGCCACGAATGCCGGCTCGATTGCCGGCGAGGCCGGTCTCTGGCCTAGCTTGCGAAACACGCGGGGAGGGCGGGGCTGCCCCCACCTACGATTTGAGACAAATTATTCAAATTTTCTCCCAAATAAACTTATTTTAGGCCGTACTTGCAAGAAGTTAGCACATATTTGATGATCCAAAGCGATTTTTCCATATAATTTCCTTCGCCGAAACGTACTTTCATCGATATCCTTTAACTCGTGCACGGACTTTCTATCGTAGCGGAGCGTTCTAAAATGACAACCACATGGCGTCAGCGCGGTCGCTGTCTCTTTACCAGGCGCAGTAACTTTAAGGCGTAGAGTAGGGCTGTACAAAATTCGGTGTCTAATCTACTCGTGAAATGCCTACACGACCAGCTTAGTTATTTAATTAACCTGAACTATCCAGATCTAATATACAAATTATCCGAAACTACAAATCTATTTGCATCTCAAAATATTAGGTATTTTCCACGAATTCCATTTGATAAGTAAGCCATGTAAGGAAAGAAAATCCCGCCAAATTTAAAATTTGCTTTAAGTATGGAACACGGCTCAGAGATTTTCAAAAACAATAAAAGCGATTGAATAAAATGTGCCTTAATGATATGTTGATCCTGGTCAACCTACAGGGTGATATAGTTTTTTTGAAAAATATAATATAGGTAATACTTCGAGAAACATTTTAAACAAACTGAAAACTTCGATAATGCTATTTTAGCAAGAATTAAAAAAAAAATCATTTTGTGCTCACCTGAAGAGGTTGCTAACTGGTAGAGGAGCTACTGTACTAAATATGATCTTAACTGTTTGTTCCTTTCTACAATAAAAAAAAACAATTTATTTTCAGTTTGTTCAACTTTGTGGTAAGCTTTAATGTTTATTTCAAATTTAAAAATCTCTGAAGTTGCTGGTTTTTCGAATAATATGGTAGATTTCTTGTTTTTTCTTAGAAATAGAAATATTTTCAGGAATTAAATGGCTTATTGAATTCCCAAATTATTCGGTGGCGTTGAAATTGGTTGGTTCTTTGTGTCGGTGTCTCCCAGTATCTTCACACCATCAAAATTCTCATAGAAATTTGAATATCTATGTTTTAGCTAGAATAGCTTAAATTTCAACACCTTGTATTAAAAAAACAAGTAGATTAATTAATAATTTTTTTTATTTGTTTTTATAGATTTCACACAACTTTTCGAAACAAAGTTAATTAAACCACGATGTTGAAATCAGGAACGTAACCGACTGAAAACAACACAGAAGAAGCCAAAAAATTAAAGAAAGCTTGTGCATTTGTTTTTGAAAATTGGGAAAACATAATCTAGTCACAAGCAATGTTTTTTTTCAAGTACGTACCTATAAGTACATATACATTTTAATTAGTGCTGTATACAAGGGAAAGCAAGAAGGTTTAAGACCTAAGATTCTATATTTGTCTCACAAAAAAATGCTCAAGAGAATGTGACAACAGATAATAGATGGTATGCACCAACAGAGACAGAGCTATCGGTGGAGTGATTCCAAAAATGTTTTCATCATATGATGTGGCAAGTCAATAGGTATTAATCCAATATACAGGGTGTTTGGTAAGTCGATGCATTCCTTGCAGGAGGTTATAGTACAAGTGATTTGTGATATATTTCCTTATAATATCCCATATTCCGAAAACGCTTAGTTTCTGATATACAGGGTGATAAAGTTTTAATTAAAAAATGCAAAATATTGCGGAAACCGCTAATGTTTTAATGAAATTTTTCAAGGTTTGACAATTAACAACAATATATGTTTTACGATAAAAATATTGTTTTTAATTGCACTTAGGCACGTTTTTGGATATTTTTTAAAGAAAAAAAAATGATGCCACTGATTTTTCTTAAAATAAAAATTATTTTTCAATTTCTTGTTCAATTTGGAAGAAAAAAGGTATCTCCACTGTTTTTCTTATGACGTACAGTTTTCGAGTAAAAAAAAATAAAATCGATTTATTGCATGGCGTAATCCGGTTTCAATAATTTGAAAAATAGCAGAAATTATGCACTCAGCTTTTTTTGTACTAATTTTATTACAAAAAATTATTATTCTTCGCAGTTAACATCAGTCTAAAAAAAATTATCAGTTTTTAGATCACTATTCATACTATCTAAACAGAAATTAGCAAGTTGGCTGTGCACTCGTTTTTGCTATTGTGTGACAAAATTAATAATAGCTGTCACTTTGAGTGTTTGAGTGTGAAGCAGTTAAGTACATAATTTTTCCTATTTTTCAAATTATTGAAACCGAATTAAGCCATGCAATAAATCGATTATATATTTTTTTTTAGTGGAAAACGGTGCGTCATAAGAAAAACAGTCGAGATACCTTTTCTCTTCCAAATTGAACAAAGAATTCAAAAATAAATTTAATTTTAAGAAAAGTCAGTGTCGTATCATTTTTTTATTTAGCAATATCTAGTGTGCGCACGCCACTGGTGAAACTGAAAACAATATTTTGATCGTAAAACATGTATTGTTGTTAACTGTCAAAGCCTGTAAAACTTCATTAAAATATTCTGAGCGGTTTCCGCAATATTCATAAATTTGCATTTTTTTATTAAAACTTTAACACCCTGTAAATCGGAAACTAAGTGTTTTCGGAATATGGTATAATAAGGAAATATATCACAAATCACTTGCACCATAACCTCCTGCAAGGAATGTATCGACTTACCAAACACCCTATATATCCTATTCTGTAGAAAACGACATAAACATTGCTTTTCTGGTTGTTTTGGTACTTGTCTTATTTCTCTATCAATGTAAATAAAAACTAAATGCTGTCCGTTGGTAAGACCATGACTTGAAAACGGCGGTACCAATTTGGCTAATCTTTTTAAATGTTAGCAATAGTCCGAATAAGGCTTTTAGGGAAAGAAAAATTGGAAAAGTTATGAACTCAAGACCGTAACTCATGATTCAAACTATGTACATGCGTAATTCTTTCTTTGTTTTGTTCGTTATAGTCCAGGAAAAAAAATTCGGAACAATTACGAACGAAAGTCAGAAAATTCGGGAAAATGTAAAAATTATAATATTTTTATGCACTTTAGATCATAACAGACGATAGGAACGACATATTTGGTTGATTCTTTTTTTGTAATCACAAATTTATTGAAATTTGGACAGGACGTCTCTCGATCGGGTCAGCCAGTTTTATTTAAAAATTTAATGGGTATTTCCTTCTCTTGTCAAATTAAACTAAAAAATAATAAAATCTAGTAATATAATAGTTAATATCATTTAATTTAAATTAGTCCTTTCTAGTTTGGAACGGGAGAGGAATTTTTTGTTAAATAATAACATAAAAATGCTTATCTCCATTTCTAGAAAGTTGGTATTCGTACTAGCTTACAAAGTAAGTAGGCTCCTTGAATAACTTATTTTTATTTTTTCAGATAAATTTTTGTTGTAGTTATGTTGATTTGAGCAACAACGAAAATATACTCCTAGCCCCAGGCAATTATTATAATAACGCCTAGATACTAGGGCATACATCATCGAATGTTGCTCCTACGGATACGTTTCCTGTAGAAATCCTATTAAAAAATGAATCTGCTAACATTTTAGGGCAATGTAAGACAAAGTATATCTATTAATACATTTATTAACTAGCAAGAGATTTCAATTTTGTATTAAAAATAATAATAAATTTACACTAGGTGAAGAAGTGGATAAATAACACTCAAAAAGTTTTTCTGCATACTTTGTAGATAGGTAGGTACATACTTAATATGTAGTTACAAAAATAATATCTAATATTTAAGGCAAACAAATAGTCAGAACAAATACCAATTGCAAAAAATAATAATAATATATCCCATTCGTGGACCAGTCTATAGACCTTGTTTGTACATACCACAGGAGAACATTTTTAAACAAATATGTATCTCATTCTTAAAAAATTTGAACTCACTCAATGAAACATAGAAATAAACATAAAAACGGTTGTACATAAGGACGAGGACGAGAACATCAAAACAACAGGTTTTATGTAAGAATAAATATTGTTGGAGACTAAACAAATATTTTAATAGATTTGACAATTAAAACGGACTTAATCAATCCCACTCCAATGGAAAAATACTCTTATATCCTATAAATAAAATTAAAACGTGATTAGATAATACACGTTATATTAATGTAATAACTGATATTATAATCGCCAAGGATAAGAATTCTTTATGTCTTCTATAACCGGCTCTAACAAACGGTGTTTACACGTTGCTATGGTTACTAGCCAGGATAGTCTACTATTCGATTTCCTTGACAAGTTGGTGCTTTCTTTTTGTCGTTTCGGTTTCTAGTTCAAAACAGATCTAGCAAAATAACAACTAGTGACAACCTCGCACAGGTACAATAACTTTCCTCTTCTGTTTACATTAGAGATTTACGAAAATTATCTCGTAGTTATGTAGTCTAGACATGGCATTCTCTTTCTCCAAAACCGTAGGAGTAACAAGGACAACGGTAGTATTCTGAGCACACTGTGAATTTTCGCAAATCCCTAATTGTGTTAGTGCTTTCAGAGTTACTGGTTCAAGTAACTTGTTGTCATTATATTTATTAAAAACAAAACTTCACAACTTATTTTTTTCTCTTTCAGCTGATAACTTTCCTGTTTTTAGAATTATAATAGAGCAGTGAAAATTTTTTTTACCATAGGTATATTTAGTCCTACTTATTAAAATACATCTTAATTAAATAATTCTTAATTTATATGGCACAAAATAAATCATACTACAGTATTTGAGATATCCAGGATCTAAGAGTAAATTTGTAATTTATGATCTATAAATCTAATGAAAGGGTACTGTGCGTAGTTCCGTATACCTGCCCTTTTTAAGGCAACTAGTCACAATTGTTAAAATCCACAGGTACAGAGTTCTGAAATATTCGTAAGTTAAACTTAATTATGTAGTAAAATAGGAAATAGGAATAATTAAGTGTTATGA